TTTCTCACATTCGACCCAATTCCTTATAAATTCCTCCCTCAGTGTACTCACTGCTAGTCATCACCCTGAGATCCCTCTTACCCAAATGCTATCTACTCTTCAAAGCCTAATTTAAAATCTGCCTCTTCAAGAAGAATTGTCTCCGGTCAGACACAGTGAAGGTTCTTTGCCGTGTCAGATCTCTTGCCACCTAGTATTTATGCCACTCATTGGTACTTATTATCTGACCTTTGTGACATGAGTTCAGGATTTGAGAGGTTACATTAACCATAAAGATCATCCTGTCCTGGGCCCTCCCTGGTGGCGCAGCGGGTTAAAGCGTTGTACTAAGAAGCTTAAGCCACTTCCGCATGAGTTCGATCCCCGCCTGCCCCAGAGGAGATCCACATGGTGTGGCAGACCTCTCCTGCCTCCTCCCCCCCCCTCCCCTCAGCAGTGTACCTCGTCAATCTGCTTGTTCTGCTCCCCACTCTGTCCCTGGTGAATCCTCTCACCCTCCGCATCTCTGGCCTGTACCCCAATTCTGTATGAATAAATAAAAAATCTTTAAAAAAAAAAAAGATCATCCTGTCCACTCATGACCTGTAATATTCTTTATCCTTAAAGAATATTATTTAGTATACTGAACAGATAGCATTTATTTAGTATACTGAACAGATAGCATTAGCTTTTGTGAAAAAAACTATTGCATTAATTTTTTAAATTGTATTATTTGCAAACCAATTTTTAAAATGTTTAAGCAAAAGCTCTCGGGTGCTTAGTGAGATATCCCTGTATCAGTAATGAAAGAGTCTGTTACTTCTAGCAGGAGCCAAATGGTGTTAAATATCTTTTCCCAGCACTTGCATCCCATCCTTAGTCTTTACCTTCTGTCCAAGGATATCACTTCAACAGTTACCTCTTTTTGTACGAAATATTCATTTCCCTGTCTACTGGGTTATTCCCATAAATACAAAACAGGCTGCAATATTCTTTGTCTTTAGGAAAACCTCCCTTGACCCTCTCTCCTTATGGTTATTACCACGTCTCTGTCCCTTTACATACCAAAATGCCTTAAATGAATCATCTCCTTGCTGTCCCTACTTACTATTGCATTTTCTTTTTTTCCCACTCTAACTTAGATTTCCCATGCACACACTTGTCAAGGCCAGCAGCTAACTCCAAATGACTAAACCTAAAAATCAATTCTCAGTAGTTATTTTACTAATCTCAGCAATAGGGCAAGATCCTCTGATAAGCAGATGTTAAGATACATGCACTTTAGACCTTGTATATTCCAACAAAATACGACGTCTGGCTTAACAATAGCAAATGGGCTATTTAAGTCATAGCACTCCACAAACTTTCTATAGGATCCAGTAATTTCTGCAGGAGCTTTGGCGATTTAAATGGAGAAATGATAAAAACCATGGCCCAGGACTATACCCACAAATCACTCATCATGAGGTCTTCTCAATCTGTTTGTATGATAAATGAGCCAGACCCTAAACACCATCTTGCTACCTGTTTTTCTTAAGCCATTCCTAATAATATATAATATACGGTAATATAGGCCTACTATGTATTAAGGTGAGAGGTAGGGAAAATTAAGCTGGCTTCCTTTGACCAAGGAGAGAAGGTTAAAAAAAAAGTCAAGGGTGGGCCCTCCAGGGCAGGCGCTCCCTGGTGGCGCAGCTGTTTGGAGCACTGCACTGCAAAGCTAAGCCCAGAGTTGGATCCCTGCCCCAGAGGTGATCCACATGGTGCGACAGACCTCTGCTGTCTTGTCTGCTGCTCCCCTCAGCAGTGTCTTTTGCCCATCTGCCTGTTCTGCTCCCCACTCTGTCTCTGGTGAAGCCTCTCACCACCCCTGCACCTCTGGCCTTTAACCCATTTCTGTATGCATAAATAAATTAAATCTTTAAAAAGTAATAAAAAAAAGTCAAGGGCACATTAACATTTATCCCACCTCCATAAATCTCATTTGAGGATAAGAGCAGGATGTGAGGCAGGGAGGAAATAACTTTTTGCTCCTTTAGCAAACATTCACTTCTAGTCTTTCACCTCACCTAAGTTTAATATGAACCTCAAAGCATTCGCCCAACTGTTATACTCTACCTAGGTGTTGGGTGATAGCTCAGCATCAAAAGAATCCTCTTGAGTCACGAATGACATTAAACTGACTTTTTGGCATCTCTTTTATGAACTACAGATGAGAACTTGTGAAATGTTTGGAAAGGATGATAAGAAAACTCAACTGATTAATCCATTAAACATAAATACCTGCTCTGGTTTAGGATTAAATGTGTTACACACACCAAGGGTTACAGGACACCAGCCTATCTTCAGCAAGTTTTCCATTTATTTGAACAGGCAGAAACATAGAAATAGGATGGGAATGCATCTGGCTATCACTGAAAAGCTGTAAGGACAACTGGGCAAAAGTAATTCTAAGAAGGGAGAAAAGAGAATTGGGGACAAGCCTTTCCAAGAGTTGGAATATTCGCTGATCCAAAAGGATGAATGGGGTTCAGGGAAGAGAGGACTAGGGGAAAAGGTCCCCATGGGCCAACAGAGTAGGATAAGCAGCATATCTGGGCCTGAGACCAGTCATTTTGAATAAACTATTTTCACCAGAAGTAAATCAGCATTAATTTTATAAATAAATATTTGTTCAATATTTGTTCATTAATAAAGCTTTTCATTTTCAACTTATATAGTTTACATTATTTCTTTTCCTTAAATTAAAATGAAGGTTAGATTAGCTTTTGTATTGTGTTGTTTTTATCAATTATAGCTACTGCTATAATTTTGGGAGCCTTTATTTTTCCCACAACTAATCTTTTCAAGTTGGATTTTGCAAATAAAAAATTAACACTAAGATTTTCTTCTTCTGTTAATACTTGAAAAAATTTTAACAAGAGCTAATATTTTGAGCTATTGCCAATTTTTTTCTATTTGTTGCAAAATCTACCTTTTTCACAAGTAACTTATACAGTTGTCATTACAAGGCATAAGTATTTTCAATAATAAATTTTACATATGAAATTTTAGCCAGTCTCTTCTATTTTGCATTATCTATTCCTACCAATGTTTTTATTATGAATTATAAAAATATTGCTAATCTATACCTACTTCTTAGTTCAAACATAACATTTTATGGCCATCCCTTCAAATGCCTCATAAATTTCTCTGTTTTCCAAATTGTAACACAAAGACATTGTCCCCAAAATCCAGTTCTTCTATACATGGCTGATCCCATTGTGTATTCAAAATAAAGGTCTAAGACACCTTCTTGCAAAAGCAAGCCCCGGTTGCAAGCAACAGCCACTGATTCTGACTGAATCAGTTTAAAAGAAAAGCATTTATTAAAAGGATTTGGGGTAACTCACAGAATCCTCGGGAGGACTTGAGAACCACACTTGGAGACAGAACCAGGAACAGCTGCTAGAGGCAGGAGACAGCTGAACTGGTCCAGTCTGCTTAGCTTGGCTGCAAGAGGCACCAGGCTCCAGACACCTTCTGCTGGCTCTCCTGGCTCTTATCACTGGATGTCAAGAGCTAGACCAACCCCTGCTGACACCATCACAGGGAAGCATCACTGTGGCCAGTTTCTTTGCCCCCCTACCTCTACATTAGAAGCCAGAAGTTTGTGTGTCTAGTGGTGGGGGGTAGGTCACATATCTGCCTTCTTGCTGCAAGAAATTCAGAGATTGCAAATGGAACTTCACTTCTACCCAGGAAATACAGGTGGAAGAATTGCTCAATACTAGAAAGGGCGTCATTGACAGGCTATCAAAAAAGAATGTTAATGTCTCTAGTGGACATGTAACATTCAGAGAGAAATATCCTGATCCTGTTCAGCAGAATAACAACATGGCAGCATGACCACAGCACATGGAACTTTGCATGGTTACTGTCCACCCCTGGATTAACTTAACTTTGTCTCCCTCGTGTTCTTCACTATATAATTAGCTGCAGTTTCTCTGGCAGGAGTCAGTTAAATAAATGCACAAAATTATCCAAGCTGGAAGCCAATATGTGATCCTTCCTCAGTAGTTTAGAGCTAATATTTTAATCAAAATGTTTTCTACGTCTAGTATCTTTTCTATGCTTCTATTAGCATTGTCATTGGGGCAGTTGAGGTTTTCAGATTTCAGTGGTTAATGAAAAAAGGATTGACTTTAACTCATGTGTTCTCTGAAGTTGTTTAAAAATAGTTCTTATTTGGGTATTATTATTTCATGTAACTGTTAAAAATCACAGTTTGAATTAATACTGTATAATCATTTATAGTTGATTTTAGGAATAATTCAAAACTATAATCTTAAGTATTTTATGATAAAATAGATTTATGTTAGCTAATTTCCATAACAACACACAAGTCACAGAATGATTTTTACACAATCCAAAGACTGGAATGCTAAACTTTAGGACTGAGGGATTTCATGGTTGTATTTTCAGTATAACTAAGGTGCTATTCCAAGCATCCAAAATACAAAATATTTTAGTCATTCAAGACAGTTTTGTTATAGTAATAACTTTCCAAATGCTTTCTTGTGTCATAGGTGCTGGTTTGTTCTCTATGTAGGGGGTGAGAGGGAAGGAGGGACAGAGATAAAAAATATCCATTTCAAAGTAATACATAATTCAGACAGTCCCTTAAGCTTCTTCTCATTCTCCTCTTTTGGGTCCCTGAACAAAGCTATTTTGTTTCTAACCATCTGACCAAAATGTCTCTGTTACAGCCCAGATTCAATAGCCAGAGGAACTTCCACAGACAGGGGGAGCAATGAGCCTTTCTTGGGTCTTCCTAAGCTTTTCAAATGCTTAATATTTCACCCCAGATTTCTGCTGAAGGTTAGGAAATTGTTACGGGGTTGTCACAACTGAAACCTCTTGGAATTAGGAATTCAGGAACTTTCCAGTGTTAATTCACTGTCAGGGACCACCACAGTATCTATCATTCTACTATGATTTTCTTTCAGTGAATACTCCAGGGGATTATTTATCTCAGCATGTATTTCCCAACAGAATTATTAATCAGACCCATCTCCACAGCCATTGTGAGTGAGACAAGCATAGTTCAGGCCTTCAGGCTTGCCAGGGGAGCAGTAAGCCTCTTGTTTTTCTTGGTAGATATTTTTGTCTGCATGTGGTTCCTTCTCTTCTTTCCTCAGACCACAAGATTCCGATTCCTTGGAGCCTAGCGGACCCTCAGAATTTTCTTCATTCTGGCTATTTTCTGTAGCAAGTACCATGTAGTTTAACCCTTCTTGGTTCTTGGTTTCCATTAAAGCAATTGACATCGTGTCATCTGAATTCACACAAGTCATACTGCCATCTTCATCTGTGGAAAAAGTAAAAAGTTATTCTAGTATGTACTTGACATTCCTTACCTATAATGTATAGGCTGTATGAGAATTATATCAATACCAGCTTTATACAGCTGACATTTATGAGGCCCACCAAGGGAACACAGAGATAAAAAAGACATGTTCCCTGTCTGAAATCGTGTAATCTTAGCAAGAGAGCAGAAATATTACTATAGGGGTGATATGTGCTACATAAAGGAAAATATAAACTGTGGTTAGAGTACAAGAGGGATTATTTCCACCACAATGGGTGGATCAGATCATGAGAGAACAGCAAGATCAAGGGTTCCAGGCAGGAGCTGCTGAGCGTGGACTGCAGAATGGGTGGGCAGTCACAGTGACTGACTTTCCCCAACTGCCTACCTCCCATAAGTAGACTATGAAGCCATTAACACTAACTAGCAAATACATTAAAATTAGAATGCTTATGCTCTCAAATGGCTGACAGGGAATGGCAAGTTTTGATGGCAGACCTGAAGGAGGCAGAAAATGACATGAAATATAAACATCATCATCTCTGTTGTGATTAACAATCATGGGAACCAAATTATCTTCTAAAATGTGCACATATATTATTAAAAAGTGACAGGGAGAAATAAGATACTGAATTTTATCTAATCCAGTGACCCAGATTATTGAGGAAGTTTTAGAATTTTAACAGAAACTTAAATCTGTAGTATATGTCTGGCTAACTCATGTTATCAGCTGCTTTACTGCCATATCTTTAACCCAGTAAGTGGCATATTGGAAAACTTTCTGACAAAGTATGATTGACTTTTATTTACTACTAGCTGTTAGTTAGGTTATTAAACAAACTTTTTGAAAGGCAAATAATATATTTTTTTTTTTTTACAAATTTGGGTGCCATATGTCAAAGAAAAATCATTAGCTATCTACTCCTTAGGTTCATAGTTCTTAAAGCAATATTTAGTAACTTGATTCTGGAAAAGCTTTCAGCAGCCGGTACATCTTATTGCATAAAGAATGTATGGTGGTGAGTGGGTGCTTTGTTTTTGTTCTGAAACTGAATAGAAGTTGTGCAAGTCCCTTAATGCAAAGATATGGAACAAAGACAGCATACCCCCAGGAACCTTCTCTTTAAGAGGGAAATATTAAAATACAGACACCCTAGTAAGAGAGGGTATTTACAGACGAGACATATGCTGGCTGACAGGCTATGTTTAGAACAGCAGAGAAGCATTTAGATTTGTTTCCTGTAGAACCCTCTGGGCTGGTGAGGTGATGTTTACACAAATGTTTGGATGAAGTCACTGAGATATTTTTACTAGGTGCCCAGATATGTTACTAATCTCTCTCTCTATCCCCGCCTCCACCACATTAGGTTAGTAGGACCATAGGATAAGCATGGTATTATTTCTCACTGTAATCTTAATGTCTTTTTACCCCCCAAAATTATTCCATTGCTTGCTTATCTTATTATATACCTCCAACAGAAACAATGAAGACAGATCTCTTACTGTTTTGCAATATGCCCAACAGTCTACAAAGCAGTAAACTATTATTCAATTTCTCTTTTATTAAAAGGTAATATAGTTAGGCTCCTCTTGAAGAGAAATTGAAAAGTCATGATTTCAACCCTTTGCAAATTCTTTTCCTGTCACTCTAGTTCTTCTTTCTTTTCTGTCCCTGTTGTCCAGTCACATCTCAATTGTCAAAATTTTAGTGATTTCCATCTTTTTCCACTTTCATTGTCAGGATTTGCAATTTCAAATAACAGAATGTGCAATTCTCTTTTACTAACTAAAATATGTTGGCACAGAAATGTTTATTTCTGGCTACATTTTCAATGTTTGATGATCTTCCCTACTAAACTTACATCATTATTTTGCAGATTTAGGCCTGCTTCTCTTTTTCTTGAATATTATTGAGAAATTTGACTCAGTCTGCCAACAACTTTGGCACCTAGGAAACCTAAGGAAAAGGTGGTGCATCTTCCCAGCAGGTTGTACCACCATGTTCTATACCGCCATGTTCTTTCAGATACTAGCAGTCAGGAATGTGCAGTGCACTTCTGATTATGCAGCTGGGAAGCACTTGTGTGCAGTTTACTTCCCACAGCCATGTCTCCATGAAGACTCTAGAATGGAGCAAAACTCCAGCCTCACCTCAGCATAAGACCATGGGCCAATTTCTAAACCTCAGTCCTCCCATCTGTTAAATAGTGATACAGCAAACCTATCGTAGGCCTAGTGTGAGGACTTGATGAGTTAATTTACATAGTGCAGTGAATCACACATTAAAAAGTGCTAAGACAAAATAAAAGCCCTTTTTAAATTTTTATTTTCTAAGCCATTTTTAAGAGGTTTTGGTCCATATTTTCATGAGTATTGTTTGCTACTTGTCTCAGTCACATAGTGGATTTAGGAATGCAACCTGGTAAAAATATTTTTTCCAGGGATCAGGGAGTCTTATAGCAGCCAAGGTAAAGCTGAGCTCTCAAAGCTTCTCACAGCCACTATGGTGTGATATTATAAGATGTCTGCACACATTAGAAAGAAATGATACCGTAGGCAAAGAAAATGGGTTGGATTTTAAAATACAAATCAAATGTAGAATCCTTTTATTCCTCTGAAACTTTTTCCTTTATTGCTTTTGATCACTCTCCTTTTTGAGCCACTCCCCTCTGGGTTTCCATGACAACATTCTCTTACAGCCTCCTTCCCTTTCTGGTTCTCCTCTCCATGATCCCTATTTTTCTTTGTCAAAACCTTCATGTATTGACTGCTCTTCCAGTGCCATGCATCGTCACTTCTTTTCTTATTTTATATATTGATTGTGTAACTGGGGACTGAAGTCAGAGACTTACAGGGGTGTCCCCTGGAGGGGGTGCTGAGAGGGTGGGTAGTCCTAGGGAAAATGTGACAAAGTACCAGGGGGGAGTGAAAGCTATGACAAGAAATATAGGGACTGCAGGAGCAACCCCGAGATTGAGCCTTCAGGAATTCAGTGGTTTTGGATCTTCAGCGATTCAAGTGTCAGCCATTTCTGCCCTCACCATGCTGAACTTCCAGAAGGCCTCTGAAGGATGTAGAAAGGCTTCCTGCAGCCAATTTCAGAGAAAAGATGTTTGGAGAATTTGCAAATGGCCAAGTTACTGAATCTGTTAACGTTTTGCTGCTGTTACTGCCTGACAGGGAAGGAGAAGATCCGGAGCCGGATCCCTGACTGAACTGTGTGGGTGAGGCTGTTTGTTGGATTGGATTGGCCAATCCACTGCAACTGCTATTTTTGACTGTTGCTTGTCTGGTGCTATGGTGGGGCATCTTGGCAGCTCCGTGAGCATCTTCTGTTGTGTATTCTACCATCTTCGTTGGTTGGATCTGGCCTATGGTCTGGCTGCTACGTGCCTCAGGAGTGGGAAGACACCATCTTTGGAACATTTGTGTTTAGGACTAAAAAAACACTGGACACTGGTTCAGGTGAGGTAAGGGCCATTTTTGGCCTCAATAACTTTTTCCTGCCTAGTTTGTTAAATAAGTCCCATTTTTGTTGTTCTCTGAAGCTGAGTAGGCTTGCAATTGTGCGCACTGGTGAAGAACTCAGGCAGCGACCTATAAGCTATTCTTGGCCAGTTTTAGTTTTTTAGTTGACCCATTGTTGCCCTGTGTCAACTGAATGGTCTCATCTATACCCTTGACTTCTACTCTCTCCATTTCCAGGATCAACTTTTCAACTGAATACTGGGCTTCTCCTCTCACCCCCAAGCTGGCTCAAACCAAACATATATAAAGCTCTTCCTTCTCCTACTCCCCCATCTTTGGAAATGTACCACTTTTATACTAATAACACAAATCGCAAGGATCCAACATCATTGTCTCTCTTCTTCACTAATTAGACGCCAAAGACTAAAGCATCTGCCTCTGTTCCTTCCAAGTACACCTGTTACCATTCATTCACTCAGCTTTCATTAACTCCCCTTTCTCATCTGTGTAGTGTGACCATCTTCCTTCCCATTTCACCACTTGCCATTTCACACCCTCAAGTGTGATAAGCTACATGCAGTTCCGGGAACAGCCCATTCTCCATTACTTCCTGGCTTTCTACAGGATGTGCTTCTAGTCTGAAATGTTCTGAACACAGCAGAGCTTAGAAGTAAACTCATCTCTGTGGCTTTTATTGGCCTTCCCACACAGGATGGATTAGGCATCCTTCTTAGAACTTCTATCTCACATGGGTTCTCTCTATGGCAGCATGGAAGACCTGGTTTCTAGAAGAAAAATATAAAATCATCTCTTCACTAAATTTTCAAATATAAACTTATTTGTAAAAATACAGTGGTGGTTACTAGAGGGCGAGGGATGGGGTGAACATGTAGAAGGATTTGGCTGGTTGGTTATGGATGGTGACGGAACATTTAGTGACAGCTGTGGTGTGACAGAAATTTGCTAAGGCAGGAAACTGATTACCTGACTACAATGTGATAAATGAATATTACCTGTATAATAATAAAAATAAACTTACTTGCAAGGATGAAAAATAATGGAGAACTAGAGAATCTACAGCCCACTCTTTCCTCTAGATTACCTTAACTTTAACTCTAAATTCAGCTAGTACATTTATAAATAACCATTTGTGAATACTTCTATAAATGGTTGCACCAGCATATAAACTATCTAGAAACATATTTCAAACTAACTATGGCTAGCACCAGTGAGAATACAGAGGAAATAAGATATTTTTAATGCTAGCTCTACTTAGATAACTGTGTGTGTTTTTTAAACAATAAACAAATTATTTACATAACAAAAATCTTTAAAATGTAGATACGTTATAAAATAATAGAACAAGAGATGTCACTGAGATTAGTTACTGGAAAAGTTGAAAGGAACATCATAAAGGAATTAGGAGTCACTTTAATGACTGATGTAAAGTAGTATAGTATACTCCTTTCTAAATATTTTAAAAAATGTTTGTGCTTAATTTCATGAGGTCTACAAAAATAATGCTCACAAATAAATCTGAATTAGTATCTTGGGAAATCAGTGTCAACTTCTAGAGGTAAAGCAGGGACTTTATAAGGAAAAAAAGTTTCCAATGCAGGAAAACAAACCACAGTGCGCTTGCCTTTCAGACATTCACACAAACATGTCAAACCAGTTCCTAAGTTTATCTCACTTAGGAACAAAATATTTCATTTTAAATGTTAGCAAACACCCCAGATTGTAGAGCCTGTGACATTTCCATAAGTGAGGTTGCAACAAATAAGAACCAGACCAAGCAGCTACAAATAACTTGAGCAAGATGATATCCACAGGAGCACTGTGGACATCCACTTTTCCTATAGATAGAGACACAGTGCAGTACAAGCACAGCTCTCGAAATCGCCACTTAAATCGGTTGCTCACATACTAATAAACTCAATATACAAAGTTAAAGAAGTTGGCTACTTTTCCCGGGGAAGAATTTTTTTTTTGCCTTTTCCTTTTCCTTAAAACAGTTAAATACAACATATTAAATCCAGCCACTGAGCACAGTGCCTTGCACAAAATTCAATAGCTATTTTGAACTGCTATACTGAAATAGAGCTATAATGAAATCAATTTTTTAAATAGTATCAAAATTCCCTTCTGATAAATACATTAAGCAAATGTTTAGAAAGTGAGATGGGCTTGATGGTACCTAGAATGATTTGTGTTCTGCTTTTCCTTCTGTGTGATGCAGAGAACTGTCCAAGAGGATGGTGTTGCTGTAGCCATTATAACTCCCAGATGCTCCCCTGGCCTAGTAGTTCCAGCTTGCTTCCATGATGAGAAGGCAGGAAGAGCCAAGATGAGACCATTAACTCACCTGCCTATTAAATTATAAGGGTTATCTGATAATGATTCTGATGAACACCTTAGACAAGCAGACCCTTGTCCAATCTGTGACTCAGCAGTTTGCATTACAGAGGACACATGGCCAGAATTTTATCCCCATTCATATCATTGACCCAAAGATACTCAAATATATAATCAGAAACACAGAAGTGAAACAAGATGTTTGTGCTTAGGTTTCTTACTTTTTCCTGCTGTCAGTCCAGAATGTCACACAGTGTGCAGGTCTTATGTGGGCTACAGTTGTGAAATGACCTACATGTTAGAATCCATCACTGCAAAGACTAAAACACCTAATTTTAGAGAGAATCTAAACCATGATCCGTCTTGCAGGTTTATTTCTAAAAAAGAATGTCCGCATTTGAGAGAAAGAAAGTGTCCTGTGAACTCTTAATAATGGGGAGTTCTAGAGCACCTAAAGAATCATTTTGAAATTTGTTTTTCTGCAAACAATTAGGTACTTACTGAAAACCTGATTTTGTAAATGAGTTCAATGACCTCTGTGTTTTAATTCTGTTTTGTATTAGTGGTTGAGCTAAAAGAATTAATGTGTTCATCATGAGAGAATATTTCTAGGGTATTATTGTTTTATTTACCAAAAATCTATAGTTGTGGAATTAGATTAAATTAGGTTTTTACAAGGCATGATTCTGCTTTAGTAATAAATTTGCTCAACTTTAGAAACAACAGATTAAATATTTACTTAGCAATATGGTTAGCTCTGAAAAACAGAACACTAAATGGATAACCGTCCAGATTGATATGGTGGACAGAACAGAGAACAGATTTCACATAGACTAGCATGTAATAGAGTCTAATACAATCTAACATGTAAATTCTCCTTGCTATCTTAGATATAAATCTAATGGCACATTACTTTTTTTTTAACTCAGTACACAATGAAAAATTATTTTCAAAGAAGAGTGTAATAACCAGTTACACTGATGAAAGTTCTAGTATATTCTTCTTACCCACCATCAAATGTCTTCAGTGTACAGCCCCTTTTAACCTTGTTCGGTTGACACTGGAGAGGAAAATTCTGAAAAAATAGACACACTTACCTTCAAAGCCTGCATTTATGACTCCACTGGTTTTTGCTTCATCACTACTTTGAAAAAGACTGTTTAAGGAAGCGCTTCTGAATAACTGAAGCTGATCCTGAATTTTATGGAAAGTAGGTCTTTGTTCAGGTTCTTGAGCCCAGCACTGGGTCATTAAGTTCCACCTAGATAGGAAGGTAGAGGTATCATTTGACAACTATTACTTTACGCACATAAAGTCATTTTAGAAGGAAAAATTTCAGTTATTTATAACTGTCTGCAATTAATATAAGTTTAAGAATGTAAAATTTGGTTTCTATTTACCATTGACTTGCAATATTACTACCTTTATTAGGTAAACCATTTTTTTTGAAAAGCCTATATTTTTTTTATTGGTACTAATGTAAATAAGTAGGTAAATAGAAAATGTCTACTCAACGTATGATGGAACTAATAGTTATAAAAGTTATTGAAAAAAACTGAGATTGAAAAGACTTTACAGGCCCTCCCTGGTGGCACAGCAGGTTAAAGCACAGCATTAAGAAGCTAAAGAGACTTCAGCATGAGTTCAAACCCTGCCCCAGTAGGTGACCACATGGCGTGGCAGACCTCTCCTGACCTGCCCACTGCTCCCCTCAGCAGTGTGCTTCGTTGATCTGCCTGTTCTGCTCCCCACTCTGTCTATGGTGAAGCCTCTTGCCGCCTCTGAGCCTCTGGCCTGTACCCCAGTTCTGTATGCATAAGTAAATAAATCTTAAAAAAAAAAAAAAAGATTTTACATTCATGCATTGATACCTAAAACAAAATCTAAGAATTACTTCCAAGACATATAGAACTTGATTTGATTGGAATGTTTTTACCCTATTATACTGTCAAGTTGTAAGAGACAGAATTCCCAGAATTCCCTCAAACATTAATAACTGGTTAATTAAACATTACCTTTTATGGCTGTCTGAGAAATGTCTTTAGAACACACTTTCTTTTCTCACCATCATCCCTTATAATGCATTCATCCTTTCTCCCTCCCCACCCCTCCTTAACCTCAGAAGCTTCACTTTATTTATGAATGTCCATTAGTTTTTAATAAGTATTTTTGCTTTGTGGAAGCATCCACTATATTGTACCAATGTGTCATAATTCCCTCAAACTCCTTCTATTTTGCTGTGACAACATTTCATCTTTCCTTCTGGCTGAATTATACTCCATTGTGTGAATCCAACTGTCTATCAGTGTTTGCTTCAGTGGTATGCAGCACTCACGAGTGTGCATTCACTCAGTAAACATTAGTTAGACACCGACTGTTTATATGCATTATATGAAGACGTCGGGCTATGGCAGTATGCCTACTGTCCTCACAGAGATACATACAGTAAATGTAAGAGATGACAACATTTTCCACACTACAACTCCTCAGCATAAAAAAAGTATCTTTTATACTGTTTATAACAAACTAGATCATTTCTGAGCCCGTGCCTCGATCAAGAAAATTAACTTCATTCAATACAATGGCACTTTCAAACCTAAATCAATTCAATATTTTGAGCCATCAATTTTTAGGTATTGTTCATTTTTTCTGGACTGGAAGGACTTATGCCCTTTGTCCTGTTCTGCAAGATAAAGGATATGTGGTAGGTGAAAAATTTATGTGAAGGGTCCTTTAGACCCCACTATATCCACTGTATCTCTCCTAGTATTAGAGTGGAATGACCAGAAACTCCTTAGGAATGACTGCCTGGTCCATCCTGCAGATAACAGCTGCTGTCTTCTATCTTACAATCTCCTTATCTCTGTGCCCTTCCTCACTAAACTGGTGCCCACTTTGCTTTCTCTACCCATAGGCTTCTTGGAGACAACAACATACCCTTTACCTGCTAACAAACCCCAGGGAACCTATTCCCCCTTCTGTTACATGCCTACACATTCCTTGGCTGAATCTCTAATTTGCAACAAAATGTTAACCCTGTATGGGAAAAAAGAAGAAGCTTGGAAGTACACACTAGACATTATCTGCTGGAACCTGCCATTCTATCTCCTTAGTGATTCTGGGTCTCCATGTCAAAGTGTGTGGGTGTGATTCCCTGTCACTGATCTTCTTCCATCTTCCCATACTGGGAGAGAATTCACCCTCCTTCTGTCAAGATCTTATTTGCCCTCCTCTTTGAAGATCTCATCTTCCCATACCTTCCCTGGGTAGAAGTGGTGGTAGAAGTGCATCCTCTCTTTTAATTAGATTATCCTTATATGAAGTTGCAGGATGTAATCACTCAAACCTGGTGGTTAGCATACTAAGAGCTAAGGAATCCTAAATGATCATATCTCTCCTCCAAGTATGCTTTTCAAGTCTACTAACTTACTAGAAAGATCAAGCCATCTACTCTCTTTTTTGATTCTAGAACCATAAAGCCAACTGAGGGCAGGGAGAAAGAAGCTGATAAGAGACAGAAATCGAGAACTATTTAAAAATATTTCTACTTCTATGTCAGTATAAAAATATGCAATTACAAATTATAATTCTTTTTTTAATTAAAACAAAGGTGAATTCTAACTGCAATTGAACATTTTTATTAAGTTAGCTCATAGAAGGAGCTTCTGCAGAGATGACATTTAAGCCAAAATCTCTGTAAGAAAATAAGATATTACTTATGGGAATAAGATTGGGGTGGGAGTTAGGGAACACACTAGAAGAGAGAAAACCATGATTAAATTCCTAAATTTGGAAACAACCTGGCACATTTCAGAATTTGAAAGAAAGTTGTATGGCTGAAGAACATTCATTGAGGGGAATAGTGTGAGATGGGATGAGAAGGAAAAGGTGAGATCACTCAGTCTCCTATGCCAGACTAGGTGTTGGATTTTTTTTTTTAAGATTTATTTATTTATGCATACAGAGCTGGGGTACAGGCCAGAGGTGCAGGGGCGGTGAGAGAATTCAACAGAAACAGAGCAGAGTACAGAACAGGAAGATCAACGAAGTACATTGCTGAGGGGAGCAGCAGGCGGGTCAGGAGAGGTCTGCTGCGCCATGTGGGTCATCTCCGGGGTGGGGATGGAACTCATGCTGAAGTGGCTTTTTAGCTTCTCAGTGCTGTGCTTTAACCTGCTGCACCACCAGGGAGGGCCCAGGTGTTGGATTTTATGGCACTATAATGGAATGCTAATGATGCTCCATAAACAGGAATGACCTTTGTATTTTTAAAGGATTACTCTAGTTGATATTTGTAGAGAATGGATTGTAAAGGGACAATCAGAAGCAAGGGCAGTTATTGAACACAAAGTGAAAACAATGGTGATTTTAACTAATAACAGTATAGCTGGAGCAAGAACATATCAACTATTATTTATAAAGACCCAGAAATTGTGATAAGTATTGTATTTAAAAGAGCTAGTATCTATTTTAAGAATTATAAAGGAATCTCTATTATGAAGTGGTATAAACTCTATTTCTTTCTTCCTACTTTCTTAACTATTCCCTCAGATCAAAGTAAATACTTAATATTAGGGTTATGGGTAACCTGTGGTATTTACAAAAGATGTCAATGAAGGATGATTCAGCTTTGAAATAAACTGTTATAAATGATGTTTGCTCATGGAACTTTAACTATTAAAATAGAATTTTGGGTCTCCCTGGTGGTGCGGGGCCAGGGAGCTGACCCACTTGGCAAGGCAGATCTCTCCTGTTTCTACCACTAGCTCCCCTCAACAGTGTGTTTCAGTAAATCTGCCTGTTCTGCTCCCTACTCTGTCTTTGACGAATCCTCTCACTGCCCTTGCAACTCTAGCCTATGCTTCAGTTCTTCAAAGCATAATTTTTTTAAAGTATTAAAAGTTAGAATTTTGATGACTAACCCAAGGGTGGGTTTAAATTAAGGTATGATTCTCTCTAAAAATAGAGATGTGATTCAAAGATGCTAGAAAAAGAACAGACCATCTCAACACTTATCTTATTTCCATTATGAAGTTTTTATTTATTGTATTTGTTTGTAAACTGTCTCATCCTAGAAAGAATTTTTAAGAAACAATAGAGATTATTTAGAATGTAAGAAAATAAGCAAAAGTAGGGAGGAGAGATAAGCCAGTCTTCTAAGTTGCCATTTAACCCTCCTGCACCTTACTCCCTCACATTATCCTCCAAACACTCAGCCTCTTGTTTAACTTGTGTTGTTTATTAAACCTGTTAGTCAATTTCTTTTCATCTATGAAACCTTGAATTTCCATAAAAGCCAGTCATGATTCTTTACTTCCTGATGGCAAAAACATATGACCTGATAATATATAAATCATTTCTCTCTTCCCACTCATGGACAAATGAGCACTGAACTGCCATAGAGAAAAGAGAAATTCTAGAAAGCAATAATACTTTAAAGGTAAAGAGAATGACTCATGCCCTTCAAAATGTTAAACTAGCAATGGCACAAAATGAAGGGGCTTTTAAGAATCCTTAAAAAAAATGTATTTCTTATACTTTTCAGATAAACTAATAACAGTAACTATATCTCTGGTTGGAGGCCCTTAAAAATATGCATTCTCTGCCATCCCCATAAAAATCTCAATGACATTCTTCAATGAAATAGAAAAAATGTTGATGAGATTCATATGGAACAACAAAAAACCTCGAATAGCC